ATTCTCACCAAACTTTAATAACTAGTAGTGTTTATATAAGCATATAATTTAACATCGCTTGCGTTGGTTCTAATCTGGTTGTATGGGGATGATATGATTTAGCTTACGTGGAAATCATATCATGTGGTTAATACCTAGCCTGGCCTACCTTAAGGTGTTAACTAGGGAAGGCGAATTCTCGACTAGGACGAATGGAATATTACTAAATTAACATTATATGCTGGAGAGAATAAATTAAAGAGGTACAACTAAACAACATTGCTGGATGTCTCGGTCCATGCTACTGAATTGTTTAATCAGCATTAATCATCGAGCATGACGGTGTTCTGTAAATTGAGTTGTTCAATGTTCAGCACTGTTGTTTAACATAATAACTACTCAGGTTGATGAGTGATTTGTGGCAAAGGCCCAGTATTTCTCCTCTATTAGTAAACATGAATGGAAATATCAAACCATTCAGGGCAACTTATGAGAAGAATGATAACAATGAAAAAGGACTGTATAGCTAACCATGATGAGTGAAATGTACAAACTGATAGTAAATTGTTAGTAAAGTAGTAAATAATAAGCGACATAATGTACATGAACAGACATGTCAACACTAAGGGATTGTAGCGTGGAGTCGAGTCGCGGTTGACTATGAACACCACTACAATAAGACTACGTGCCAGTTAACCGATAAAATCCACCGTAGGCCAAATATCAGAAGACAGTTGATGGCTGTAGTCGAGATGTATTCGTTGGCGATCTCGTGGTACTGAAAGGATACAGAGATCGTGCCAAAAGAGTGTAGTGGCATTGAACCATAACCACACAATCCTCAAAGCTGAATACGAGGTTACTCGGAAAATAGATACTCAATATTTAACGCGGAGAAATACCCAACAATGGAGAAGGCGCGAACAATGAATTGAATGAATTGGAGTTGATCGGTTGGCATGGCTCGGCCATGCAGGCGTGGTCCATCTGAGTGTTACCTTATGTCTTCTATTTATATTAAATACATTGTTCCTTCTCTAGCCTAACCTTGTTCTACATCATGAATTGGAAATTGGTACGATACAGTGAGTTGGTGTAGTCGTTGGTGTGACTTCCACGTAAGATCTAATAGATTAGGCAGTTATATCATGACAAATCTACAATTTTAGGATAAGTTCTATTATTTGAGCAGTACTAATATCATAGTAGACCATAATTCCACAAGAGTACAAGCGTGGTTACCGAGCGTAGCCGAACCCGTGCAAGTTCACAATCAATGGAAGGATAAAGGAGCAGTTATATGGCTGTCTTCAGCACAGTTAAACAAAGGAGCACAGTAAAACAATCACTGGTACAATTGGTTATGATAATGATTGTTTCCATTAAACCCATCACGTTCTCTTGATAAAAGTAGGTCACTATAGGATGCTTGAGTTTTTCAAAAATCGAGGCACAGAAACAACAATCAGTCAAAGTCAGTGTGATAAAAGATTTATATGAGCAATCATATTGAGCATACAAATGTTCAGAACGAAATTCAGAGAAGTAAGTTAGGAATGCTAATACAGATCTGAATAACTAGAAATTTGTTCATAGGCTCTTGTACTTCTTTTGGAACAGACAGAAATATAGCTAAGTTCTTTAGAGTACAAAGATAAGCTGCTAACTAGAATCCATATGCCTTTGCTTGTATGTACGAGAAATAATCAGTCTAAATGATAAAACCTGTGAGTATAAGATAAATTACTTTGAATACTTTAGTTCTATCTACATATGACCTCTGTCGGCAAAATATGATTGGACGGATTTGAGAGTTGATTTGAATAAAAAGGACGTAACAAAATAATGATGCATTCATTCTTAACTCCCTCATTTCTATATGAAATATGTCAGTGTTTTCATATCATTTCTCTATCCTTCCTTTCACATCAGTTTTCATAAATTTATAAATAATATGAATTCAAATTTATGAAAGTCTTTGTGTATCTTGTAAAGAAACGTTTATCTACTATACTTAGCCTACATAAAAGCTCACAGCTTCTTAGCATCTAGCTGATGTTTTAAGGAAGGTACTGACATCCTTGATAATGTCCATGACCAAATTTTATCCAATGTCAAAGTTTCCAGTTCTCCCTATGTGTAGCAAATAAAAAAAATCATCTTCCTGTTTATTCGGATTTCACAAATATCTCATTATCATTAACGATTTCTATTTTATTTTACCGGCAATTTTCAAAAGATGTACTTAACTTAAAGTTGACTACTTGTGTAGAATATTGGTTTGGATTATAATTGTAGAACTTGGTGAGATTATGTTATAAAGGATTTCATTGTTCTTATTCATATATTTTTTTCAGGAATGACCGCTGATTTCTGCCTTTTTTTAAAAGATGACAGAGAAATGTAGAAAGTGAATAATAGATGACCGAAATATGATTCGAAGTAAATTAAAATAGACTGGACAGTATAAGAATATTTAGCATTATAACCGGAAGTAAAACATAATCCTATCTTGAGAACTCAGTGTCAAATCTGACAACTATCGCGAACTAGTTGCAGCCAGGTACTACAAAATATATTTGGATGTTCAGAGAGCGTACAGACTCCTACTTAGGCTTGGTTATGTACGTCGTGTCGTTATCCACAAGTAGCATTTTGTGCACTCAACAGCCGAAATACATATAAACAATATTGGAACTATGTGGTCGAGTTTTTGAGACTTTAACATGACTCCAGAGGCCAACTATTCTGTAGCCGTATGGATGATTTCCTCTACTGCATACTTTACGATTTTACAACCTCGGAACCTCTTTCTAACCCTAACAAGTGTTTGAACCACGTATAAGAAGTGTATCCACTTTATTTCCTTGGTCTTGTATAATATATTTTTACTCTATACTGGCTGTTTGCTGATTGGCCAATATTTCTCAAGGTCACTTAAGATTCGTTCAAACGTCGTCCATAAATTAGAGTCTCGCCGATTGAAATTTCATTTAGCTAAACCTAAGCATAAAATGGTGATCATTAATATTTCATTAATATATGTGTTATATTGAACAGTTTGTTAAATGTTCAAAAGTTCGTAAGAAAAACCTACTGAAGCACATATTTTTAGTTGATTGGCTCATGTTTTGTTTGTTTGATAGGACATGCCTACAAATGTTCTGGTAGTGCCGAGAGTGGGGAGAATCAGTTCTCCCTCTCCAAATTCTCTCACATGGCCACGCGTATACACCCTCTGCCACACAAGTCTTTCTGGTGACATTACTGTTGTTAGTGAAGTCGAGAGGATGAAAAGCGATTGTCCAACATGGAAACCGGGTTGTTGGACATGAAGGATCCACCTAGAGGAATCTGAAAACCCTGATTCCAAATTATCGGTACACATGGGCTCCAGGATCCTCAGGGAACGAATGGCGTATTGACCCATCGTTAGTTAACGGCTGCCATGGGCACCTGGGTAGTATCTGCTGGGATATTCAGAAAAATATCCCAAGAATTATCGTTTTAAGCCTAATGCTATCCTTGGACTTGAAATGGTATCGTTTTCCTATTGGTCAATATTTATTTTAAGTGTCATTTCCCTGTTGGCCAAATATTGTACAAATGTTATTTTCTATTTTATGGTACGATGTGCTCTGCTTGATTAGTATATAAACAGAGTATGTTTAAAATAAATGATTCATATCGCAGAGGCTGAGACTTGTGTTCTGGACTTAACTGGCTGGGCTAAGCGGAAAGCAGGATCAATCAGAACTCTAAGCTGATCATACGAGTTTACGCGTCATTGATCCGATCGATAAGCCACTGCACATTAATCGGCTGTCACAAGATATAACAGTATCACAACCGACACACAAATCAATTGACTTGGGTGATACATATGGATTCGGTTCCCTTTAATGTGTTCAAATAAATATAATAATACCTGATGACAGAACATGGAAGAAATGCAACTCATTGTTTTGTTATTCTTCACGAATGAAACTGTCTATCAAATGTAAACTGTTAAGACAATCCTAGTGAAGGACGACACAGGTATTCAGTGTTTGACAACGCTTCTACCAGTAACACCTTCTAATATGATTTGTACCCACCGACAGAAATCAAAAGACAGAGTCGAGGAGATCGGAAGAGTGTATTTGGCGATTACCAATATATCCGAATTCTCTGATCTAATCTGGCTAGCGATTGCGGTAGATGTTGAGCACGGCGTCACCACACGTGATCTGGTGCGGATGCCTGACCGAGCGCCTTCAGCTAGATGAGTCCACTAAAACATATGGTCAGCATCCAATGTCGAAAACCTGGAGCTATTTATTTTGGGGATTTATTTACCGCTACACTAGAATGAATCTTCAATAACATTATGATCAACATTTAGTAGTTAATCTTCAATACAATAAGACTATAATTTTAATTCCTTGATTATTCCGTTGAAAGATGGATTTTTCTCGTTTTTCAAGCGAGAGAGTTTATTCATTGTTCACCATAAATCTTATGAGTACCTTCTGAAGGCTACTGAGATCTGCAATATTTATTATTTTTTTCGAAATATACGTTTGCTCGTGTGTTCAGGTGTTTGATTTATTTCTACTATTTCCAATACATTCTATCCATGAAATGATAATTTAAAATGGATCACATAATCTTGATACTAATTACCCTGTTTAGATATGAATCAATCATGTTTAGATCATTGAGCATGGACGATCTTTCGTAAGAATTCACCTCTCTCAGCATACAACTCATATCATTTAACCATATAGAGGTTATTTATTCTCTGAAGAAGTGACTTACACTAAGCCACGAAACGTCAGAAAAATCCAATTTTCTACTCATTGGGATATTACAAATATATTATTTTTATTTATAACAATCAACCCAATGCTCAATTTATTCGAAATTATCAAATCAAACCTTGGTAATGACACCTATATAGAGGTGTATGCATCATTTTGCATAAATCTTTATTAGGTTGTAGTGACCAACTTTTATCAAGAGAACAAGATCGGTTTATTGGAAACAATTATTATTATAACCAATTGTACCAGTGATTGTTTTAATGTACTTGTTTGTTTAACTGTACCGAAATACATTCATTATTCCTCCATTCTTCCTTCCGTTGGTTGTGACCTTGCACGAACTTACGTTTACTCAGTAAATCCGCTTGTACTCACTTGGTACGATCTCGGTATTCTTTCGATAGCCCGAGATCACCAACAAATATATATCGCTACAACCTTCAATTGCCTTCTCATATTTGGTACCCAACCTTCCTGTAGTGGTGATCATAGTCAATTGCGACTCGACGCCACACTACAATATCATCTTCAACTATCATTACTATCAAATGATAAAGACATTGATATGAGAAAAGATTTAAAATGCTTTTTGGATACTTTATGATTATTCTTATTAAGTTTCTCAATGATTGGCATTTAAAGTTACAATCTTAATACACAATCACAATTTAGAATAGAATATAGTTTCGTAGTATCCATGCATCATCATCATCATCATGATAATAATAATAATAATAATAATAATAATAATAATAATAATAATAATAATAATAATAATAATAATAATAGAGAAAGACAGTACAACAAATTGAATGTTCAATTGTCAAGATAAAGCTAAATAGTTATAAGAAGAAAAGCAATAATGCAAATTCAAAGCATAAATATCAACTAGACATATTATCTGTATATGGATAGATGAATGGATGGATGGATTGTAACGATATAAATGGTCAGTTTGTTTAAAAGATTTTAAATGAAATAATCTTTGTTTAATTGATATATTCAAGGTGGGAAATTGAATAAACAAACAAAATGATATGAAGTAATAATAATAAGAAGAATAAGGATAATATATGAACTTCCAAGATATTATTGAATCTATCTTTCTTGATCGTTTACATATAAAGTGCACAATTCACAAACTACATATTTTGTTTTGTTTCCAAAAAATAAACAAAATAATAAAATAGAAAACCAAGTTAGTAACTCAAAAAGTTAATAATAATATCTAAAGTAGATATGATTCATTAACATAATGGAATAATCTTAATTGAACAATTATTGAGACTATAATTTAGAAACGAACCAATCAGATACGCTTTGACTGCATATACCGTAATCTCATTGGTTGAAAGTTCTCAAGGTCAGTCAAGATTCGTTCAAGGGTCACGAGACTATAATTTTTAAACGAGCCAACCAGATAAATTTTTACTCTTTACTGTTTTCTCATTGGTCGACGTTTTTCAAAGTCAATCAAGATTCGTTCAAAGGTCACGAGACTATAATTTATGAACGAACCAATCAGGTAGAAGATAAGGGATTACGGGTTGTGGAAGCGACATACACTCATCTATTTGGCTAAATAAAGTTTTGGCATTTTAGCTTATGTCAGTTCGTGATGAAAATTTTTACTATCACCTGTAAATCATAATTCTAATTCCTAATACATAGGTTTATATCCCACATTTGGTCCTGATTATCAGGTAGATACTCTCAAGCTCACTTTAGGGTCACTCAAAGATCGTTCATAAATTATAGTCTCATCGAACAATGACTGTACATTTGTTTCACTATAATATAAGATTTTGCTGAGAATCGAACTAAGATCAATCCATGATGTTGATTATATAATTCAACATTCTACATTTTGATGGAGTTTAGTTCTCTGAACTGGATGGTTCGGTTGTGGAGCTTTCATCGTTTCGGTTGTACAATCAGAATAAAGAAGTGAACAATGACAGGTTTAAGGTTAATAAGAACCAATCAACTTCGAGGTCTTCAAGACAAGCTGTGAACCACATACGGTGATATTCGAACATTTCACTTCTACCTGAGGTTTGTTCTGATAATATCGTTCAGAATAAAGATGAAAGCTGTATGATTAAACTATTCAACTCAGAGTCATCTATCTGAACTACAAATCTTCTCCACCATCTCAACGTTCTCCATAAACTAAATATGTAGTAATGATACACTAAAAAATTTCAAAACTACATGTGTTTTAGATTCTTTATCTATTGTTAGTCAATTGTTTTGCGCAATTCAGTCCTACCTTTGAACTCTATCGTAAATCCAGGTAATCTAACATGATCTACTGGCCGAAGCAAACTCGGCTTTTAAAATTGTTGTCGCAAAACTGAATCTCTTAATTGGAACTGAATATATTTACACATTTCATTGTGATTCTCACCCTTATAAAACCTGCCTTTTGTCAAAAGATAGAGCTCAACTTATTTTCGTTTCTTTCCTGATACTCTCGTAAGAAACAGCTTCATAATGTTTCCTCACTTACAGTACATATTGTCTTTATGATCCTCTCTAATATTTAAGGAAAGATTTTCACCTCTGATTGATGACTTGAATGACTCTTGGACATGTAACCTTTAGAGTTTATAAACTTTAAAGTCCCCAAAATGGATTCCTATTTACAAATCAGTTTTTGTCTTAAATTTGATAAGCATGATGCTGTCGTTAGTTCACAGCTATCTATAAAGCAGAACGTGTACATAAATTTCATAAGTGAAGTTGATTAGTGAAACACTGAAGACCGCAAAAAACATCCAGAGAGTAGCTTCATATCAGAAGTTGAGAAAAAACCAAGTTGTTAGCGGGACATAGATTGAATTAAAGCGTGTTCCATGCACGATTACGTTGATGCACGCTGATTGGTTAATTCTTATCCAATCAGCGCTAGTCGATACTTGGGGAACAGTGTAATTTTCTCATATAAAAATTATAAATAGACTAATGTTTCTCCTATTGTGCTTCTTACTTCCATCTACTCTTATTATTTGAAATATAATTCCTTTCCTATTCAACTGTGTTCTGATTTGAGGATCTGTCTCAACAGCCCTTGTGGTCTGGTGTGTGACGAAATCTCAGCACGGATACAGAAGGATCGACTAGCTCTTGCCAAATTGCGTCATTTATGGAATAGGCGAGATACCCGTCTACTAACAAAATGACGTGTTTACTGCGCAGCATTTCGTACCGTCCTACTTTATGGCTGTGGAACATGGCCGGTAACAGCAGAGGATATTCGTAGTTTACTACTACTCGATCACAGGCATCTTCGAAGCATTGCTTGTATATCCTGGGACCAACGGGTAAGTAATACAATTGTTAGGAAACGGGTACTAGGTAAGGATGGCTAATCAATTGATGGAGTAGTGAAGCTTCATCAGTTCAGATGGCTGGGATATGTGTTACGTATGCCCAACCACAGACTGCCCAGACGTGCGATGTTTTATGGTGTAGGAGTAGGTTGAAAGACAGCTAGGGGTGACTAGACAAAAACGTGGCACAAATCCATGAAGTCAATGACAAGTGGTTTGAACCTTGTTGGTATGTGTAGACTACCTGGTTAGGATCCACGAGATGATAGCAACCGATGGTTAGAGACCTTGAATGACACATGGCTCAAAATCGTTTGGAATGGTACAGGTGCATCCAGTCTTTGTGTTCTACCAAATTCTAATCTTCTAAATTCTTCATGTCACTTATTTTTCGTCTTTCCAAATTTATTTCACTGAATTATACTACTTGAATAACATCTTTAAACTCTAATCTTTCCGTTTACTAATTATACTCTTATCGCCTCTACCACTACGGAATTTGAGTTGACTAATGTATCTTCGTGCTAATATGGTATGGCAACTCGAACTGATGTACGTATATACGTACGAAGTTCTACTTGTTACTGACTGACTGACTAATCTGTCAAGTGAATTAGTATTCAAGACTACTATGCAATAGGAATAGCTGAGTTGTAATAAGAGACATTTTATTCTACTACATTCATTGTCCTTGTTTCTTAGTCGAAATAGATTTATTTAACTATGACATAATCCTTATAAGACTTAATGTCTAGTTTAAAATTCTTCATTAATATCTACAACTTCAATGTTATATTCAACATAAATTAACCATTTTTATGGAAAACAAGATGACTTACATCAGTTTCAGTGAATAATGCTTGTGATTTATCATTTTTCGGTGTCACTTTAAATACTTCAAATAATGTTTGTAAACGTGCACAACAAATCACATAACTATCAAATGGTACACTACCATCACGACGTGAAAAACGTAAAACCAATGTAGAAAATGTTGCATTATTAATTGAAAAACCTAAAAGAAAAAAATTAAATAATTATTATCCCATGAGAGAGATAGAGAGATAGATAGAGATCATGGATACGCACTGTTGAGGAGTTTCACAATAAGATGAAACGGCCGTCCAGTGCTTCAGGGTTTTCAATGATGATCTAATATCAATCGATTCAAGATCTCAATTGAAAAACTTAATAATCTCCACAATCCTATCCTGATAACTACCATGTGCTCACTGGTGACTAACTTGGTGAGGGGATTCTTGGAGTTCTAGAGAGACGCCGTGGCCAGTGGAGCTAACCTATGTCGGGTAGAGACACGTATCTACCTCAGTACAGTCGAAAGTGGTCGCGCGATTTCGTGGATTGGTTGAGATTAGACATTAGCATCGTTGGATGCTAGCTGTCTCAGTGATCTAGAGTTTAAGATTTCACGTGTGAGATCGAAGACCCTGAGTACGACTCCGCAAGCGAGATCATGGATGCACACTTCTGAGAAGTCCCACAATAGGAAGGAATGGCTGCCCAATGCTTCTAGGTTTTCAATGGTAACCTAAAATCAATCGGTTCGTGATCTCAATCCACAACCCTATACTGATATGAATTTATTGTCAAGACTATAATTTATAGATAAACCAATCAGGTTCCAGTGAGAGAGAGAGAGAGAGAGGGGGGGAAAGGGAAACTTGAATTTCGTCGGGAAATTTATTAACGACAGAGACCTAATTCTAACTTCTAATTTCTAACTCCTAATCTTAATTCTCGATCTTTTGACAAAGTTAAACTGTTGAAGTCCTCAAAACATCTAGTCAAATTTCACTTATATATATTAGTAAAGAAGATTGATGATTTAGCCATTTTGATTTTACTGGGTATAGAAATCACTGCTCTACGTGAACTCAACAGTCTACTTACTATTGAATTTCATGTTATCATGGAATGAAGCATTCATTATATAACCATTAAGAATAAGATCCGTTAATCCAATAGTAATTTTCTTCCAACTCAACAATGCTTATCAGTACTAAACTAGCTGAACCAAGACATCATAATTTACTTGGTTGTTAAGTACTTTGTCAGTTATATTTGCAGAACTCAACATAGTGTACCTTGAGGATTGAAGGTAGACGACCGGTTTCTTTGGACTCGGAGTTCTAAATCTGAACTCGGTTCATATCAAATAAAAATGCTTGATCTTTGACTGAGAAGAATCAATTTTTTTCTTTCTCTAAGATTCAACCGTTTATATCTAATTTAAAACTGTCTAAAATTATGATAGAAAGAAGATGCAATGTTTGGCGTTGACTAACTAAATGACCAAAAAGGTAATAAAATAGGTCTTTTCAGAATACGGCTTTGCCCCCAAATGCCCTGGTATGGCCGAGAGTGAGGAGAGTCCGTTCTCCCTCTCGAAATGCTCTCACATGGCCACGCGTATACAGCCTCACTGCCTTCTAGTGGCGGGGGTGTTGTTTACGAAATTGAGAGGACGAAAAGCGAATGTCCGGCGCTTTAACCGGATTACAAACCAACGGTGCACATGGGCTCCAGTATCCTGAGGGATTAAATGGCGCATGAACCAATTGTTGGTCACCGGCTACCATGGGACTGCATCTCCTTACGACGCTCCACTGCCTTGTGAATCAAACCTTCGGGTCGAAGGCTCGGGGAGTGGCTTCCTAAGAAAACCACGTGTTTCCGTTTGGGAACTCGGGCAGTATCACAGCACTCACACATATCGAATGAGATTTGTGTGGCGCATATGTATTTGGTGTTTCCTTGTACCAATATCTGTGTTGAAATAATAATAATTTCAGAGTACATAAAAAGCGATTCGCAGTTTTAAGTCAAGAAACTTAACTCATCGAGAAAATAACATTAAACTTTACTATCCTTCAAGCTGAGGTATGTCCTAGCAACAAATAAGTCAACTGCAGACTGGACTGTATTAAATACTGAAATTGAATACACTCGTTTCCGATAGTAACTTCACGATAACAACCAGGGTCTTTGTATTTCAGAAAGGCTTTACTAATCAGCATTAAAATGTTCCGAACCTCCTCTCTGACCTCCATAAATATTGAAGCTGAAAGTCGAGAGCATATTTCTGCACAACATAATTACACAAGTAGTCAAAGCATCATTAGCCTACGATTTACTTATTTTAATGTAGTTATAAACCGATATAAGTTAGACCACTATTGAAAACCTGGAAGTACTAAACGGTCGTTTTGTACTAGTATGAGATTGTTCAACAATGTGAATCCACGATCTCACACGCTGGACTCGAGCCTAGTTCGTTTACAGAATCAGTTAAGTGTCATGTTAAACAAACAGATGAGAGTTGTCTATTCCATTCAGACGGTGTATTCATCTTCTATGTTCACTGCTTACAATGATGTTGGGAATAGCGAATCCCCAAAATACAAAGTATAATGAAGAAAATCAGTCTTATGACTGTCTGATCTTTAGGTAATGACTAATTTCATATATGTCAAGTTCTTTTTTTAGTGATGATCGAATTCTATCGATCACTTTATTCAATGATAACGTCTCTGACTGTGAGTCAAGATGATAAGAGATTAAAATCGATAGGAAGCAATAGTTTCCCTCAAAATTACAGGTACATTTTACTGACAAGTACCAAATAATAATCTACAACCTTCAACATGTACCTTATAAGATAAATGTTAAAATTGATATATCATTTTATAGTGGTTTTTGTTCAATTAACTTTCAATGCATTTTTCGTTGAATCATTTAGTTCAGAGTGAATTCTGTCGATTAACTCTTGGTAAATTTTCAGGTGTATTCATTAAGTATGTAGTCGGTTATTTGATTCTTAATGGATTTTCATTGTATTGATTTGATTCACTGTGATTTCAGAAAGGAAGGCCTAAGATAGAGTGGGTTGAAAAATGCTAGTCGGCGGCCTATGCTCCTTTGAGAGTAACAAGCGTAAATAAGTAAGTAAGTAAGATTTCATGTTCAGTGACAACTCATTGATATGTAATTTAAATTAACTGAAATGTAACTGAATTCTTCTTCGATCTACTCCAAGAAAAGCTTCTATATAAAACTGAACGTTTTACTCTAGTTAGTAGGTTAGGAAGAAGAGGATAGAATCCGTTTCATTCATCAATATTGTGAATATGTAGTTTAGTGTACGTTTTTGTAAATCGTTTAATTCTTATTTTTAGATTGGTTACACTAAGTTACGAACCCCTCATCATGAATATATGAGATTTAATGGTTAAGCCAAAGTATATTACTGAATGATTATCAGATCTTAAGCCGTTTAGTCAACATTATAGCTGATGTTAGTTTGTGATCAAAACCATAAACCTAATCCTTAATGCTAATTACTAACACTAATGTTGGGTTATATTTTGATAATGACTCTGTGTTGTGAAAACAGTTTCCACATTCACCATCGGCTTAACGATATGTCATGGACAAACCAGATTTAAATGGAGCCAAGTAAGGAGAGTTATTAACTAAGGCTAGTTCTAACCAATTCGAATGAATATCTCGAAATGTTTCTTATAATATGTAGATAAGTAATTAAATTTATCTCATGAAAATTTTCTACATACATCTATGTTAGTGTCAATAAAAAAATTCTTTGATTAAAATCATGAACCGATTAATGGTAGACCACCTTAGAAAACCTGGAAGCACTGAACGGTCGTTTCATCCTATTAGGGAACTCCTGAGTAGTGCCGACCTATGATCTTGGTCGCGGGATTCGAACACAGAGCCTTCGGTCTTGCAAGGCTTAACCTCTAGACCACCGAGCCGGCATCCAATTGTGTGAATGTCTAACCTTGGCAAACCCGAGAAATTGCGCGACCATCTTCCGTTGCTGAGGAGTCCCACAATAGGATGAAACGGCCGTCCAATCTCTCCAGGTTTTTACTGGTATTCTACCATCAATCGGTTTATGATCTCAATCAAAAACATAATAATCTCTACAATCTTATATTGAAAGAAATAGTCAACATACCAACATGTTTCAATGCATTTCTTAATTCAATTGAATTCATCGAACCGCTTTTATCTGTATCGAATTGTTTAAATGCAGACTGAGGCGTTGATTATTTTTTTTGAAATTCAAACGGGGAAAAGAAAGGAAAGTCAAACACAATTTAGAATATGAATTAACTCATTCAAAAGTTACTCAAATTATAAAACAAAAGAATTTGTATGAGATTAGATGAAAAGTAATCAGAATTTGAGATTAGCTTGTCAGTAATGTTTGTGAACTTACGCCTGTTACTCCTCGTGAAGGAGCAAAGGCCACTCATCAGCATTCTCCATCCAACCCTGTCTTGAGCAATCCTTTCCAGTTCTTTCCAGTTGTTATTCATCTTTTCATATCTGCTTCTATTTCCCGACGTAATGTGTTCTTTGACCTTCCTCTTTTCCACTCCCTTTCGGATTCCAAGTCAGGGCTTGCCTCGTGATGCAGTTTGGTGATTTGCGTAATATATGTCCTATCCATTTCCATCGTCTTTTCCTAATTTCTTCTTCAGCTGGAAGCTTGTTTAATCTCTAACACAGTAAACTGTTGCTGATGGTATCTGGCCAACGTATGTTGAGTATTTATAAATTCTTGTACCTTCTTGGTGATGGTTTTTGTAGTTCTCCAAAGAATTAATTATACTAACCCAATAATACTTATGTATTAATGAATGCCATAGATATTTATCATCATATCACTAAGATCACAATCATTTTTATACAGTAAAATTCATTCATTATGGGGAAGAAACATGGAGAACTACGAAAGCCATCATCGAAAAGATAAAAGTGTTTATTAACATATGTCTATGCAAAATACTTCGGATCAGTTGGCTGGACACTATTAGCAACAACCAACTGTGGGAGAGAACAAACTAGATCCTAGCGAAGAAAGAAATCAGGAAGAAGCGCTGGAAGTGGATAGGACACACATTGAGGAAAGCACTCAACTACGTCACAACACAAGCCCTCACATGGAATTCTGAAGGCCAAAGGAGGAGAAGAGGAAGACCAAAGAACACATAACACCAAGAAATGGAGACAGACATGAGAAAAATGAACAAGAATTGGATGGAACTAGAAAAGAAGGCCCAGGACAGAGTGAGTGGGTTGGAGAATGCTGGTCAGCGGCCTATGCTCTATTAGGAGTAACAGGCGTAATTAAGTAAGTAAGTATGTAAATTTCATTCATCACCGATATTTAAATATCTACAGACTATTGAAGAAATCTGGATAATAACATCAAAGAGGATTACTTGCTACATGGATTTCTAACGTTCAATTCCAGTTAATAAAGTGATATGAATGATGATTGGAAGTAAATAAGTCGTTTTATTTATTCAAATTGCAGAGAAATCTGTTGATGGTTTTCATATTATATATGTGTGTGAAAATAGTAAGTTATAGTCAATAGTCTTTCAACCAAAATACATAGTACCTATTAAACGGTATTGTGAAGTAAACTGGATTACTAATGAGTAAATCTGTGATATCGGTTGTTTAGATATACAACTCAGGTTATTGTGGATATTTACCAGTTTTATATAAACTGTTATACGGAAAAATTATTGTTCAATCCGTATATTGACAGTATTTTCAATATGTAACGTATTGTATGTAACACAAAACTGATATCAAGACTGTTATGAATGGGTTTAATTCGTGAGCTCATAATGTTTGCTGAAATAGGCACTACTGTGTCGTTCCTAAATAAAAACAAAACTGTTACGTAGTACTTTATGGTACTTGATGGTTAATCAAGTTACCTCAGATTATGGTGATCATCGACATATATGTATCCAAATATTTCTGGGCGAGACTTTAATTTATGGACGAGCCAATGTGAAGCGTTTGAGAGATTTCAAGGTTACAGCGCTAACTTAAGTACCTGAAACTCATATATGATCGGTTCACAGCGGATTGTAGGGAAAACAAGATAATTGAGCGGCTACAACAAATGGGACTACTAAGAAGTTCTTTTATTTGTCATTGTAGTAATCACATGACTTGTGGACTTTGTGCAGACTACAGTGATGATGTTGTTTTTCGGTGTAATATGTGTTGGAGGAAGAAGTCTGCTAGAATAGGGTTTCTTCGCTCGATCCATATTGAGACTAAGACGAATTGCGAACTGGATAATAAAAGCACCAATGACACTGGCTGAAGCCAGGTACTACAATATATACGGATGAATAAAGATCGTAAAGATGCCAAAATAGACTTGATTGTGTGCATTATGTCGTTGTCCACAAGCGGCATTTTATGCACACAAACAATATTGAAGCTATGTGGTCTAGGCTGAAATAGTTTTTGCGACCTTATCATAGCTCCAGGGGCCAACTATTCTGCAGCCATATGGATGAGTTCCTCTACTGCATGCATTACGATTTTTGAACAATGTAAAAGAAGTGTATTCACTTTAATTCTTTGATTTTATATAATATGTTTTTACTCTACACTAACCGTTCTCTGATTGGCTAACATTTCTCAAGTCCACTTGTGATTCATTTCAAGGTTGTCCATAAACTATAGTCTCGTCTACGATTTACCATATGTTATGATGAATGAGTTGTTTCTCAGAATGAAAAGGTAAAGGTAAATCTAAGGAGCTTTTTTATTCTTTTTACTTCAACGTTCCAGTTTAAGTATTGTAGGTGAGACTCATCATACATCTCATGAATAATCAGTATATGATTGTGGAGATTATTAGGTTTTTGACTGAGTTCATGAACGGATTGACATTAACACTGTTGGATGATGGCCGTCTTAGTGATCTAGAGGTTAACTATTCGCGCGTGAGACTAAAGGCCCTAGGTTCGAATCCTGTGAGCGGAACCGTAGATACGCACTGCTGAGGAGTCCCACAATAAGACGAAACAGCCGTCCAGTGATCCCATCTTTTCAATGGTGATCTAACACCAATCAGTTCATGATCTCAATCAAAAATCTCATGAATAAAACAGCTAAATTAACCACACTGACTGGACAATTTGTAATATACAACAGGAAATATAAATTTATCGAATTTAGTATTGTCAACTAATTTAAGTACAGTCCATTTACTACTTTACATTTAGAAATTGAGGTGATGAGATTCTACAATGAAACGTTTCACACGATGAAAATCATGTGTAATGAATTATTAGATTCAAAGAAAATAATGGTTTTAAGGAAAAGTATAGTTATCATTATGAAAGCCATATCATATTCAATACAATAGACTAACGTTCAACAGTGTTATATGGTTAAAGAGTTTCAATATCAAGGTATCTTGAAGTGATGGTTATTGACCACTATTCTACTACAAATCAACACTGAAATAGATGATGGAGAGTACATTTAACCATCTGTTACATAAGACGTTACTTGATTAATAGTAAATATCATCAAAGTATATTTGATAATCATCTACTCACCTTCCAAACACGTAACAGATCCCATAGTTTCCGAAATTCCGTAAAACTCAACATACCAGAACGATCGACCTATCAGGAAATGACTGAGTTAAGGTGTAGATAGTTATAATGGCTATAAACAATATGTAAATATTATAACTGATTCAAATTAAGCAAAACTAAACTTAAGTTACATCAGGTAAAAAGGAAACAATCTAAACTGTTAAATCAAAATCTAACAATTTGCAACGACATCAATAAGGTCCCTACTCAGTTTCGAGTTGAAGTGTTTTGTATGTTTTCATAGCTCTCAACAGAATCTCCTACTAAATCTGTCATGAATATAGTCACGGATGAGAACACGATAATTGTTTTGTTGGGTAATTCACGGAGATATTTCATAATTTGAGAATGATTTTCTCATCGAAATCTGTAAGAGATATTTAGCGTCTTTGAAACTTCACACCTTCCATTAACAAAATGATTATTAACAACGAACACAACTCTTGAAATCATCATAATATCTGAATCTATCTCCTATACAATAGATTATGGGTCTAACCATTACAAACCACATCATCTTTGAGTAATCCTTTCCCATTACATATATGATAATCAAAATATTTAAAAACAGTCATTTTAAAAGTGAACAAAAGGATACATCCATCATAGCAATCATACTTCGACACGACTCCAAACTGAATCCATCAAAAGCAAAATCTACAATAACATAAATTATAAAAAATGAAAATAAAATTGTAAACTACTTAATATATTAAAGTAGTATAATTAACTTTGCTAAAATTACTTGCATTAAGCTACTATCCAAGTACATTAAAACAGATCTTATTATTTCTTTAGAAAAGTAGTTATTCAAAAATTGTTTTGTGAATTTATAGCAGTGCATTGAAATACAAAACCAAAGTGTAATAACTGATAAGATCAATAAAAACGAGAGCATTTATGCATAAAAGTCAAGCAAAGAGAGAGAGAGAAAAAAAGGAGAATATAATAACACGATCTCCTCGCCAAGAAATGGTAATTAGTAATCACAGAGTGAATGCTTTACATGAACTTATGATTTCGGTTTTAGCAGAGAAATATAACTCAGACATCAAATCATAGTCCTGGGTTCAAATCTCACAAGGGGGATTGTGAATGCACACTGCTGACAAGTCCTATACTAGGATGAAACGGCCATTCAGTGCTTCCAGGTTTTCCATGATTGTCTAACTTCAATGGACTCATAAATTCAACCATTAAAATGTTAGAAAATATTTCTATGCATACTTTATTACTACTCATGAGTAGTTGTGTTTCAACATACACCAGTTTTATCACTTCAGTAATGTTATCGTCAAATTGAATTGCTTAATCCCTTTTAGTGATATTCTAACATTGATAATCATCCAAAATGTATAATGATAATGATAATGATGAGTGAAATAATATTGAAGAACAAATGTAGCTCACTGTGTAAAGTACAAATCCTACATCAACATTGTAAAACACGAAAGGAAACGTACACAACCCTGTACAAACTACACTAAACCAACTAGATGAGTAGAAGTAAGAAAATGAAACAGAAAAGCGAGCAAACCAGCAGTAAGTTAACGAAAAAACGAAGAAGCTTTGAATGCAGTGACAATTGCAAGTGGTTAATTCAAATTAGATGACTCTTTATTTTTGAGCTTACAACCAAATGAGTCTTGTAAGAAAGGGTATATATGTAAAACGATAAATATTATTAGATAATATTTATATATAAATTATAATTACAGCAAAAACAAAGAAGGAATTTTAAAAAAATATCCCATTTGATAAATGTCAGTGGTCTAGAGGTTGTGCTCGCGCGTGAAACTGACAGGTCCTGGGTTCGAATCTCGCGAGGTGGGTCGTGGATGCGCACTGCTGACAAGTCCCATACAAGTATAAAATGGCCATATAGTGCTTCCAGGTTTTCCAGGATTGTCTAACTTCAATTGACTCATAAATTCAACTATTAAAATGTTAGACAATATATCTATGCTTATTTCATTACTACTCATGAGTAGTTTCAAAAGGAGAAAAAGGAATCAGTACTATAATATTCAAGTAAAAACATAAGAAGTAGATTATTTTAAATTCAAATGGAATCAGTGGATGAATTCACTTTGTAACATAAAGTTTAACGTTCATAAGTGTGACTTTTAATGACATCAAATGATTTAAAGTACCCAGGACTGATAGGTTGTGGGTATGAATCTCGCGAAGTGGGGTCGTGAATGCGCACCGTTGACAAGTCCTGCACTAGGATGTACAGTGATTCCAGGTTTTCCATGGTTGTCTAACTTCAATTGACTCATGAATTCAACTATAAAATTACTAAAACCCCCACAAACCTCTTCTGAGAAATAATTACCATTAAAATTGTACAAAGTTTGTCAATGACACTTAAGTTACTTTCTCGGTGTTCACTCAACCAACGAAAGTAATTGAACTACCTATATAGAATGGCACAATATTTTATTCCCTCTTACGTAGAAGAAATCAACTATGTGTTTGGTGATATATTTTAAAAATAGAAAATGAGCATGATTAGTTGACCATGACTCACAGGAGTAGACGAACTGAAAGATGATCATAGCAGCGACCAACTATAATACTATTATTGTGTATACTATCATATGTTTAAAAGACAATACTGCTAGTATAATAAAAAAAGTGTTTTGTCGGAGACAATGATAATCGAATTCTCCCATATGTATTGATGAATGTTTCTTGATATGAAGTCTATAGTTCAAGTCACAGCATAGAAATCAACACGCATATAAGAACACCAAGCTGTTAAATGGTTGAACTATGAAGTTGAGTAACATGGGAGTTCGAACCCCACAGAGAGAATCAGTCACCTAAGAATTACAGGTACACCTTGTAGATGTATGCTAACTAGCACGAAATCCAAGCTGAGTTTCCTGTCAACTAAATCTAACCACCTAATAAACTATGATTACTATTATACCGAAATTGTTGAAGGTCAATTCCTACATTCAAAGACAAGTTAGATACAAAAAATGCAATATAATGGTAATGTAAAGTTATCGGATAACCTATCAAAATATTAAACAAAGGTAATTATTTCATTTAAAAAACATTTTATTGTGATCTCTTCCTCAATAATCACCATAGTTCCCTTTCAAATATCACCATAGTAACCAATTATAAGCAAAGGTGATGAAGTTACAGTTGTATGAGTTGGACAGTTTGTTAGTAAAACCTTTTTTGACCTTATAAACAACATTATCAGTACAAAGAGCAAAAATTCATTTATAACCCCTGAATATTATATGACAGTTCATGACAAATCAATAAAAGACAACAGACAATAGATGCTCCTAAATGCTCTGGTAAGGTCGATGGTAGGAAGAATCAGCTCTTCCGCTCTAAATGCTCTCACATTTCCAAGCGTATATAACCACTGCACACAAGTCTTACTCACAGCATTCTAGTGGCATTAATGTTGTTTACGAAATTTGAGAAGACGAAAAGTGAATTTCCGGCACATAGACCGGGTTGGTGGATATAGAGGATCCATCTAAAGGAGTTGGTGGCCGGTTATAATGGGACAGGGTCTCATGACGTTGCTCCACTGCCTTACGGATCAGATCTTTAGGTCGAAGGCTCTAGACGTGGCCCCAGAAGAAAACCACTTGCTTCGGTCCGGGCACCTGGGTAGTATTACAGCCCATAAACAAATCAAGTAGCTTGTGCGGTGCATATGTATTCGGTAGTCCTTTGCACTAATATTTATGTGTTCAAATAAATAAATAAATGACAATGGATGAGTCCGTATGAGTATGATAAGATAATACCCTGACAATTGTTAGTAACTTCTTAAAATATGTACATACTGACATCTTTTAGAAGTATTGATTTGTAAAATTTCTATCCACGATTCCTTCCTTCTATTGTATGTCATGTATGAAAGAATTAGCAGGAAGTAATCGGTCTGGGTTCTTCTTCAGTATCATATTCGTTAGCGACTAAATTTACCTGTCTTCAACTTGAATTACAATTCTATGTAGGTTGTTATTACTTTACAAGAATTATTTCCTATTTCATCGTTATCTGTTTTTCAAAGCTACATCTATGGTAAACCGAAAGATTTGAACATTGTTTTATATGTTTACAGATACCTATGGACTTCTACATCATTCTGAAAAACTATAGTCTATGAGAGATCTAAACTGACTACTTCAGGGTAACCGATTGAATTTTTCAGTACGTTAGTATGACGAAAACTTACATATATATAAATCCTTATTTTATTGGAAAGCATGTGAACAAAAGATAAAGGTAATAAGACCACAAATGCTTTAAAAATATTGCTCTCATCTGATGAGATCACCGGGTGAGTAGTAGTGAGGTTCGATACAATTTATTAGGGAACCATGGTAAAGCAGATGATCAGGTTGTAAATATTCGTCGACTGAGATGTTTGGGTCACGTGTTACGTATACTTGGACACCGATTACCACAACGCGCAATACTCACTAGTGTTGGAGATGGTTGGACGAAAGTTAGGGGAGACCAAACCAAAATGTGTCATCGGTTCTTGAAGTCACTAACTTCTGGTCTCAACCATATTGGTAGATGCAGACTACTTGGTTGAGATCTGTGCCACTATCTTAACAAATGGTTGGAGATTGTGTGTGACATGGCTCAGGATCGATCACAGTGGCGTCAGTGTATACACTCACTGTGAGATTAAAATCAGTTTCTATCTTTCTTTCTACGAAATAATTTCTTCTTCCGGTACTATGTCCTTATATACAATCTTCCTTTGATATAATACTAACCCTGAAGTAACTACTTCTATGAATTTGGTGTTCATCTTGTTGTGCTAATGAGGTATAGCAACTTGGACTGATGAATAGCTGACTGACTGAATAGAACAATTAGGAATTACAAAAAACTATTCCAATATTCTTATAGTTGGATGGTAAATAATCTGCAAATTGATAGTCAGTCAGTCGGCTACAACATAGGACCAAACACATATATGTATCGATTCAAGTTGCCAGACCTCATTAGAACAACCAGATGATAGAAGTCATAAAAAATCAATACAATGTTTATTCTCACTCTTAAACAAGGAAACAAACTATAACTATCAACTACGATTAAAATTTCAAATCAATCAACTCAAAATGTAGTAAATATGAGAATCTTAATGCATAAAATTTAGTTAGTACTAAGAGACGACTAAGTAGAAATTGGTTAAATATAGAGGATTCCAAAAAGTCAACTTTTGTTTTTGTGTATAGGAAAAATTTTGAATTATTTTTTTCTAAGTAGCATTTTATAGCAAGTTAGTTTTCTATGAGATAGGATCGCTAACCCTATGCCCAATCCTCCTCCTTCATCCTAGCTTGGGACCTGCAATAGCCCCAGGGGGCTCCAAGAGCAAGACCAAAGAACATATTACTCCAAGAAATGAAGACAGACAAGAAAAGAATGAACAATAATTAGATAGAACTAGAAACGAAGGCCCAGGATAGAGTAGGTTTGGGGATGCTGGTCGGTGGCCTATTCTCCATTGAGGATAACAGGTGTAATTAAGTAAGTAAGTAGGTAAGTAAGTAGTAACAATTTGGATTTCTGATTGATGAATTCAACATCAGTTTAGTTAACACAGCATTGTCAAATAAATAGATTATTTCAATCTAACAAGAAAAAAAGAATATCGTTAATGTTCAGTCAGTTAGTAACAAGGTAGAACTTCGTGCGTACATACATCAATTCGATTTGTCATACTTTTGATCATTTACTTCAGTAAAGAGGATCATTCAAAAAATGACTGTATATGTCTTACCTCGAGTAAATGCACAATTCAATATATCACGTAATTCATCTGCATCAATTTCACCATCATCTCCAGCAACTTTATTAAATGCTTTGTGTAATGCTTCCACTTGTATATCAGTTAATGGTTTGACAACGGTCTAAAAAAATCAATATTCAAATACATAAACACACAATATCAATTGAGAAATGAAATACAATTACATAAGTCAATCATATTCAGTGGAAAGATAGACAGAAGGGGAAGAGGAAAAAGGGAGAGAGAAAGAAATTGCATTCATATAAACTACAGAATCATTTTACAAGATTTGTTGGTGAGACTATAATTTATGGACAACCTATGAGCAACTATGAAATGACCTTGAGAGTAGACCCCCCACTGAATAGATTAAATAAGGGTTATAAAACAGTCAGAATTCTCAATTACAGTTGATGATTAGGGTTAAAAATTACATTTATGGTTTTCATCACGAACTGATATCAGCTGTGCAATGGAGAATTCGAAGAAATTCCTATTTAAGTAAAGCATTAGCTGATATAGCCAATGGTCTTAAGAAGAGGATTACGAAAAACACAAACTTCTGAATAGTAACAAGATAATGGTGTTGCTTACAGTTTGAGCTTATTTTAACTGAAAAATCTGAATTAATGGATACTATTGAAATGGAAGAAGAAGAAAAAATAATTGAAATTATACACAATGAGAATTAGAAAGCACTGGATTGCATAGGAATTATCAGTAGTCTACATCAGTAATCTCACCCAAGATTGAACTTGACAACTTTATCACTGAGAGAGCTTAAAACATAGGATCACTGAGCCGGCATCCAATCGTTTTCACATCTAAATCCTATAGTGTCCAGCCATATTCTATTGTCTTCGGTGAGTGACTGCGTCAGATCTGACACGGTTGAGATTCATTGGCCACGATTTCTTATTACAACCTCAGATTTGGTCGCTGGTTGGAATCATAGATGTGTACAGTTTGAAGATCTCATACTAAGAAGGAACAGATTCTCAGTGCTTCTGGTTTTCAGTGGTAATTTAAATTCGTTCAGTTCATAATCTTATTGATATTCAATAACCTCAACAAACTCCCCCATAGTAACAATGAAAACTTTCAATTTCAGAATAAAATACACACTGGGTAACATTCCTAAAAGCCATATAAACAATGATACACAATTGTTTTTTTTTCCTCTAAATAAAATAAGCTAGAAAATATTTATAAAGAATCATTCATTTACCCATAAAGCATGCATTGATTAGTAAACTTAATTTTATAGAGGAAAATAAAATCAAAATGGAATGATTTAAGTAGTTTGTGACCATTAAGAGTATAAGATTTTCGTAAGCTCCTAGTATTTGATCACAGATATCTTAGAAATATTGTCATTATCGACTGGGATCACTGGGTAAGTAGTAGTGAGGTTAGACGCACAGGGTATTAGGGAATGATGGTAAATCAGTTGATGAGGTTGTGAATCTTCATCAACTGAGATGGTTGGGCCACGCGTTACGTATGCCTGAACTCCGATTACCACGAGGCGCAATGTTGACTGGTGTTGAGGATGGTTAGAAGAAAGTTAGGGGCGGCCAAACCAAAACAAGGCATCAGTGCTTGAAGTCACCAACTTCTGGTCTGAGCCATGTTGATAGATGCATACTACTTGGTTGGCGTCCGCGTGACTGTCGTAACCAATGGTTGGAGACTCTGGGTGACATGGCTCAGAATCGATCACAATGGAGTAGGTGTATACGTCCTTTATCTTCCCTTAAACTAAGAGATTAAAATTGCTTCATATCTTTCTTTCTACGAGCTAATTCTTTCTTCTTGTACTATGTCCTGATATGCCATATTTCTTCTATATATTACTACCACTGAAGTAACTACTTCTATGAATTTGGTGTTCATCTTGTTGTGCTAATGAGGTACGTCAACTTGGACCGATCCATATATGTTCCTGGTCCCAAGTTGTAGCTGACTGACTGACTGACTGACTAAGTTCGTCCCACGTAATTTGATTTACACTATATTATGGTTGTGTTTAAGTTATTATTACTAAATGACCATAACTACCACACTATCAAAATTTTATACTTTGATATCCTTCAACTTTACTTGGCAATAAATAACGTAACCAAGGGGTTGGATACAAAATTTATTACCCAATGGAAGTTATTTCCCTTTAAATAAAAAATACCTTTGCATAACAACAAATGGTGGAATAAAAATATTTAAAAGTACAAACTAATGGTGTTGAATAATGTGGACAATATGAACAGTTTAAAAGTGAATATGATCAATGTGTATCCTGGGAAATATTGAAGATTCCCAGATAAAAAAAAAGTAATACAGTTCTATGAAATGAAAATCTGTGAAAATGACATTTCATATTGGTGATTTAAACAAATTCTATTAGTCATTCAAAATAAGGGAATATCAATCAGTCAGTCAGCTACAACTTGGGACCAGGAACATATATGGATCGGTCCAAGTTGACGTACCTCATTAGCACAACAAGATGAACACCAAATTCATAGAAGTAGTTACTTCAGTGGTAGTAATATATAAAAGAAACATTGCATATAAGGACATAGTACAAGAAGAAAGAATTAGTTTGTGGAAAGAAAGTTATAAAGCGATTTTAATCTCATAGTGTATACACTGACGCCATTGTGATCGATTCTGAGCCATGTCACACAGAGTATTCAACCACTATTTTGAGGTAAGATGCTGATTGAAGGTAGTCAACATGAAAACTTGGACTCGGGTTTCGAGCTAATGCATACAATGTCGAGTCATCTAGACTAATGACCACGTTGCAACTTGGTTAATAGCATTCGATATGCACAAAGAAGGACTTGACATACATGACATGTACATTACTACACAACTAACATTAACAATCAAGTAATTCGCACAAAATGTTACCATATCTTAAATTTTTTCCCCATTTGTAAAAAACAAAAAAAAAAATGAATCATACGAGAAAATAACATAATAAATCTACATCATAAAATCTAAATTTGAACATTCTAATTTTTAAAGCTAAATCAACACTTCATTGGAATCCCAATTACTCAAGCAACAATAAACAATATTTTTAAGAGAACCAAACAAAAAATCAATAAACATTACATAACAAAACCATGGTGTAACTTGACGTAAGCACTCACAAGCAAATTGATTTTAAAAAAGTGATCAGAATAAAAGTGTTAAGGCAATATTGTAAAATTTCAAGACATCATTATCATTTGTATTCATATTCATCTGTTACCCTCTATAGAGAATAAGCCGCCGACCAGCATTCTCCAACCCACTCTATCCTCATCCTTCCTTTCTAGTTCTATCCAATTGTTGTTCATTCTTGTCATGCCTGTCTCCATTTCTTGACATAATGTGTGCTTTGGTCTTCCTCTTCTCCTTTGACCTTGACAATTCCATGTGAGGTCTTTTTTTGATGCAGTTGGACGCTTTACTCAATGTGTATCCTGTTCACTTCCAGCGCTTCATTCCGATTTCCTCCTCCACTGGAATCTGGTTTGTTCTCTCCTACAGTAGGTTGTTGTTAATAGTGTCTGACCAACGGATTCGATGTATTTTACATAGACAACTGTTAATAAACACTTTTATTTTTTGGATGTTGGCTTTCGTAGTTCTCCTAGTTTCCACTACATACAGTAGAACTGTTTTGACATTTGTATTGAAAATTGTGACTTGTGTTGGTTGACAGTTTGTTTTCAGTTCTAGATGTTCTTCAATTGTAGATATACTGCTCTTGATTTTCCGATCCGCGACTTCATATCTCCACCAGATCCACTGTGTTCAACAACGATGCTGCCCAGATATGCAAATGTTTTTACATCCTCCAAAGCTTCTCCGTCAAGTGATTTGATTGGTGCATGTTGCGTTGTATCGAAGAATCATGTTTTTCTCTTCGTGTATGTTGAGACCTATTGCTGCTGGGGCTGTTGCTGCACTGGTAGTCTTCTCCTGCATTTGTTGTTGCATGTGCGATAGAAGAGCCAAATCATCTGCAAAGTCTAGATCGTCCGCCATATACAGTGGAACTGTCTTGACATTTGTATTGAAAATCCTGACTTTGGTGTTGATTGATATTTTGTTTTAAGTTCCAAATATTCTTTAATTGTAGATATGCTGCTCTTGCTTTGCCGATCTGCACCTTAGTAGTAGTAGTGGTGATAGTGTTAATAAGTGTGCGATCTAACAACGGAAGCTGTATTGTAATTTATGTATCTAACAATAATTCACATTTTTTCCAACAAATATTTCATCTAATAGATAAGTCATTCTGTTCTATCTGAACCTAGCTTCAATTGACTAATGCTCTCAACCATTGGAATTAATACAATATCCACAAAAACCCTTTTGATATTAATCAGCATATGCTCACTAGTGACTAGCTTCAAGAGGTATTGTATAAATCATGAGAACTGTGTAAATATCTAGACATGATTATCTCTAGTGAAACACTATTACCTTTTTAAGATTGATAACTGAGAAGTATATTGTGTACATCTATTGTGACAAGATTAATTCCTAACCGAGTGTTTTGATTGAATAGAAAATCTTTGCTCAAACTTTCCCTGAAGGGAACTGATACGATGACAAGACAATAGATGTGAACTGATGTGTTAACTGAAAACACTATCTTTTAAGAGTTTTTCAGGCATGTTCTGAACAATGAATATGAAGATAAAACACTTGTATTGTTACATATGTGAATATTTTCTTGAAAATATATGAGATTAATATCAACATGCACCAATCGAATCACATTTGATGGAGAAGATTTGAAAGATGTAAAAACCTTTACACATCTGGGCAGCATCATTGATGAGCACAATCGATTTGATGCAGATGTGAAGGAGAGTATCTGCAAACCAAGAGCATCAAATGTACAATTAAAGAACATCTAGAACTGAAAACAAACTGTCAACTAACACAAGTCACAATTTTCAATACAAATGTCAAAACAGTTCTACTGTATGTAGTGGAAACTTGGAGAACTACGAAAGCCAACATCCAAAAGATAAAAGTGTTTATTAACAGTTGTCTATGTAAAATACATCGAATCCGTTGCGCAGACACTATTAACAAAATTCTACTCTGGGA